CAAAGGAGCTGACTCTACAAACCAAAGTCATAATTTCAACACCAATTTCAAAACTGGCTGACCATTGGTCAAATCGTGGCTCATCCATTGTTGCTTCGTGTGCCGACAGAGACGGCTCTGCGTGCCCGCAGTTCGTCACCACTGATTCGATTGTTGTTGGTGGAAAAGATGGGGGTAAGAGGTAAGCCCAGGGGGTGCGAGGTGGCTTTTCATGGGGTTTGAAAAGGCGTCATTACATGCACACAAAGCCATTGACTTCAAGACATGATGAACATATATATATTTTTTAATCATTAAAAAATTTAGTTTATGCAAGTGAAATTTATTTAGAGCTGTGCGGTTCAAATTTTGAAATGCATCGTCGTTTATTTCAGGGGGTGGGAGACTAAAATGATTTTGAGTAGTGGGTAAGGGGGGGGGGGGCTCAGCTCAACTTCGCCCCGGACAGATTTTGTCAATTCCGCTCCGATCTAATGAAAAATTAAAATGGGGGGGGGGGGCTGCTAAGAGTAAGAGTTAAAAGAAATGCGTTTATTAATGTCACTAACCCATCTTATGAACTAAGCAATATAAATCCGTGCACCAGCAACATAGCTGTAGAAGAGTGGGGCAACATAGCAGATAGAAAGAGTGGGGAAACATCGCAGATAGAATAGTGGTGGAAACATAGCTGTAGAAGAGTGGGGCAACATCGCAGATAGAAGAGTGGTGGAAACATAGCTGTAGAAGAGTGGGGCAACATAGCAGATAGAAGAGTGGTGGAAACATAGCTGTAGAAGAGTGGGGCAACATAGCAGATAGAAGAGTGGTGGAAACAGCTGTAGAATAGTGGGGCAACATCGCAGATAGAAGAGTGGTGGAAACATAGCTGTAGAAGAGTGGTGGAAACATAGCTGTAGAAGAGTGGGGCAACGGAGCTGGTAGAGGTGTGGGTGCAACTTACCTGTAAGAGTGGGGACAACATCTCTGTAGTGGCGTGGGGTCAACATAGTTGTAGAAGAGTGCGGACAACATAGTTGTAGAAGAGTAGAGCAACAGCTGGTAGTAGAAAGGACCAGCACCTGGGCCATTGTTCGATTTGTTCTCGGCTTGAGTGTTACGTTTTAGGCTGTGACTGGACTAGTGTAATTTTTTGTAAGGCATTGATAATGTATGTAAAACCCCCATATCACTTTAGGCCTAGTAGCTCTATCTACTACTAGACTAGAAATATTAATATGAAATGTGCACCCTAAGAGGGTGAACACGTCCAAGCTCACCAACAGTGGAGCCTAGGGTTTCTTTCAGCTATATCTCCTGGGGGTGGGGGGGCAGTGCCCCCCCGGGGAAAGCCAAGTGCCCCCCCCCCCCGAGCAAAAATATTCCAACAATAAATCAACTGGGACTGCTGGCACTGTCNCCCCCCCCGGGAAAATTTCTGAAAGCAACACTGGTGGAGCCCAGTTGCGCATCTTGACTTAACGCCTCCTTACACACCCACATTAATTATAAAATGTTTTAGAGACCGGTAAATCCAAAAAGTGCCGCCCGTGAAGGAGGGCGCGCACCCTCCCCCCCCCCAATCGCGCCCCACAGGTGCGCTACTGTTAAGGCCACGGGTGGTAACGATTGGTGGCTCACATCTGATTACTCGTCAAGTGTAGATATAAATCGAGAGAGTGGCTGGATATAATGGACGAGACTGTATATAATTGTAATGAATGACATGATATATAACCAATCGATGCGACCAGATATAGTGGATGCAGCTCAAAACTGAAAGGATATTTCACCAGAAAGCGTTTAGTTTCTATAGTTCACATTCTACTTTGGCATGACATCATAAGTCGCCTTCAATTCCTCGTCCTATGGTTGGCAGCGAACGACGCGGGGGTCTTCTTGTTGGGGGGTAAACATTCCCCTGGGTTCTGTAGGCGGGTGTCAATATTGGAGACAGACATTCCCCTGGGTTCTGTAGGCGCGGTGTCAATATTGGAGACAGACATTCCCCTGGGTTCTGTAGGTGGGGTGTCAATATTGGAGACAGACATTCCCCTGGGTTCTGTAGGTGGGGTGTCAATATTGGAGACAGACATTCCCCTGGGTTCTGTAGGCGGGGTGTCAATATTGGAGACAGACATTCCCCTGGGTTCTGTAGGTGGGGTGTCAATATTGGAGACAGACATTCCCATGGGTTCTGTAGGTGGGGTGTCAATATTGGAGACAGACATTCCCCTGGGTTCTGTAGGCGGGGTGTCAATATTGGAGACAGACATTCCCCTGGGTTCTGTAGGTGGGTTACACAAATGTATCACAGTCCCACAGAAGGACCATCACGTGGCGAGAGAGAAGTAGCACAAGTGGTAACACGTGTCCTTAATGAGTCTAAGACTAGCGAGAGCAGGTTTGATACCACTAACATGAGCTTACACAGATGGTCGTATGCTAAGCTACATTGCCATTTTGTAAGGGATTACGCAATGCATTTATCTGGACCGTGAGCGATGTTTGGTTCGGTTTACTGCAGTTACGCCACAGACAGGTCTGCTTAGATTTACACCTGTACTAATGGTGACACCGTAGATTGTGACGTCATTTCACTTACCAGCCCACTGCGTGTGATGTGATATGCTTCACTAATGGTTACTTCTCAGAGCATGACGAGGTGTTTCCCCACTACCCCGATCCCCCAAGCCACATGCCAATAATTTTGAATCATTGCTTTCACACCAACCCACCTGAGCCTCAGTCATTGCTTTCTCACCCACTCAGTGGCGTGGCTTGGGCTAGTGCCACCCGAGGCGGGGCAAGATTATAGCCGTCCCCCATTCACGAAGAAACTCTGCAGTTGACAGAAGAAAGAGCGACCCTCCACAAGCTCTCTCTACACCAGTGCATCCACTTTCCTGAGCCCAACAATCTATTCTTTCACACCCAACTCCCGAGCTACAAAGTCTAATGAAACATTTCTTTCACCTTGATAGTCCTGAGCCACATTCATTGCTTTCACCGTGATAGTCCTGAGCCATTCATTGCTTTCACCTTGATAGTCCTGAGCCACATTCATTGCTTTCACCTTGATAGTCCTGAGCCACATTCATTGCTTTCACCTTGATAGTCCTGAGCCACATTCATTGCTTTCGCACCTACCCATCTGAACCACGGTCATTTCTTTCATACCCACCCATCTGAACCAGTCATTTCTTTCACACCCACCCATCTGAGGCACACAGTCATGTCTTTCATACCCACCCATCTGACCCAGTCATTTCTTTCACACCTACCTATCTGAGCCACATAGTCCTCTTGTTCACACCCACCCTCCCAACCACACGATCTTTCATGTCTTTCACCCCGAGCCACACATTTCTTTCACATTGACTTAAGCCTTAAAAAACGCCACATTGTGACCATTGCTCCATGTGTACAGACCAGGTACAAGCAAACATTCCCAGACATACAGAAATACAAATTAACACACACAACAAAAAGAACCAGTTGTTAATGCAAGTAATTCTCACTGTATTAAGTTATGATCAGTGGCCGCACGTGCGTCAAGCCAGTTTCCTTGGCCACGGAGATGTTACTGGTAGAAAATAACATAAGCAAAGTTCAGGGACCCACAGGGGTCAAGGATTACTGTCAACCTTTACATGGGTCGAGGGTTACTGTAGTCCTACACAAGGTTCAAGGATTACTGTAAATCTTCAAAGTTATTGTCAACTTTTACAAACAACGAAAAAAAAAAAATTGTAAAATGTAACAATTTCTCTAAAAATATCATAAAAGGTTCCATGTTATTTATTTTTTAAAAAATACATTCCCCCATTTGCATTGCAACATGAGCCTGGGTGTATCGTCTTGCTGTAAAAATCTTGAAGTAAACATAAGCAACTAATTACAGTTGTCGGGAAAAAATAACAAACCTGGAGCTTTGTGAGTGTGTCCTGGATGTACTATTGGGCGTCTCCTCAGAAGACTTTGTGTTAATATACTTAAATATCTATGAATCTTAAACTAAACAGCAATAGTAAATAGTGTTAGGGCCCCTCACAAACTGGGTCAGTTACTGAGTGGGTCATTTAAAACATTAGCAACAGGGGTTCTACATGACTGAGTAAATGGCAAGGGCAATTGATATTCCATATCTTAAGGTGTTTCTAGTTTTTCAGTCACCTAACATTTTACATCAGGTGAACAACTCTTTTTCTAATGCCTAAAAAACCTGGCCCTTGATTTACTAACAAAAAAAGGTGATCCTGTCAAAACAAAAGATATTAACAATGACTGTATTTGTCTGGGTAAACACAGACTAAGTCAGTAATGGACAACAGTAATTAGAGGCACCCCTCCCCCTGTGAGAGCCACTGTACTAAAAAAATGGTATTTACAAGTAAGTACATGTACTACAGCAGTGCAACTCAAGGCATCACCTGTGGACATTCAGTGAGGAATTGGCTATGGATCCGTAAAGTTAACATCCCCCAAATACCCCGGCTACGGCTTACAAGTTGAAAGCCATCCATTGGCTGCAATCAATGAATTACCTTAGGGGGGGCTTAAGGCCTCCATTGGATAGCAGCACTTCCCATAAACATGGGATCAAAATGTCCACAGTTGAAAATTTGAGTTGCAGTGAGATTGTGTCAAATGAATTTTAAAAAGTCTACATCTTGTATGTTAAACCATTATACAAATATAGGATTGGTGAATACAGCCTGGCACTAATACACAGCTTATATTTATACATGTCTAAGTCTTTAAATAAAAGATTTGCTACAAGTCCAACAGAAAACTCATTACACAGCAGAACAGAACACTTTGCCTTGCCCCCCCCCCCCTCCCCGCGGCGCACTTCCCAAACAAAACCAATGCTTTCAATGAACACTCCCAATAAAAAAAATAATACACAGCTTATATTTATACATGTCTAAGTCTTTAAATAAAAGATTTGCTACAAGTCCAACAGAAAACCCATTACACAGCAGAACAGAACACTTTGCCTTGCCCCCCCCCCCCTCCCCGCGGCGCACTTCCCAAACAAAACCAATGCTTTCAATGAACACTCCCAATAAAAAAAGTATTTAAAAACAGTTTTTAAAAAAAAACATTTTTCACTGAGCATTGTGTGTGGAAGCCAATCATTCTTTCATTGAACACATCCCTCTCACTTTTAAACACAACTAGTTATTAGCCTGGTCAAACCATGAAATCATGGTCACCTCCAACCTAGCAAATATATACACAAAGAAAAAAAAATTTGTACACAATCAAACAGCTAACTTGATGGTAAGCCAGAGTGCAATAGTTGGTGACAGCTTATCTCTGACCCGCAAAAAAACAATAATGTGAAGACATTTGGTTGACACCCCCCCCCCCAAACAACCCGCAAGAAAGGGGGGGGGGCGGCGGGCAGAAATTATGTTGAGAGTCGATAGCTGTGGCCCACAACCTTTCCTGTGGCCCACAAACTTTCTTTGGTGCAGTGGAGGAAGTAAGCACTCAAAATTATGAAACTAAAGAGAAAGATGTGTGGGTTTAGAAAGGCTCTAGAGATGTCAACATAAATCAGATGTAAGTAAATAGGGTGGATGCCAATGTGGATAAAGTGATGGATGCATCAGCATTTGACATGACAGATCAGCGTTTGACATGACAGATCAGCGTTTGACATGACAGATCAGGTCGCCTGCTCAGGGAGACTGAAGGTTGTTTTTCTTTTCTTTTTTTTTTTACAACTTGTTCAAGAATATGAAAAGACACGTCTCCCCATGTTCATGTGGGCACTGCTATGCCGCAGTCAGTTTTCTCACAAGGACTATCCATCTTTCGTGTAGTGCACTTACCATTACATACTACTAAGTCAAGCTGGAAGTGAGTGACTGAAAATGGAAGATAAATATGGTAATATTCATCGTCAGAATAGCTCCTTAACACAGACAGGCCACTTTATTCTTAACTCTTCCCAGGCATGAAGAGTGGGACATTTATGTCTTGATGATAAGTCTACAAAAACAATTTTCTACTTTTAATGGAATGGATCAGGTGATTAGCATGTTTTTCATTTTAACAAATTATTTCCCTTTGGTTATAGTTAGAGCTTAACATATTGTTCAGAAGTGATAAATGAATGCATTTTGACAATGAGTGTGAAGTTTATGTACAGTAACATATTGACATACAGTGGTAATAGTTAGCAAGCAAATCAAGAACCTTTCATAATCAGAGACCAAACAAGTCAAGCATAATACACTGCCAGCACTGTCTAGTCTCAAAACAACCTGGCCTAGTACAATACACTGCAAGCATTATTTAGAGCCACACAAACTTTGTCAAGTACAAAACGCTGCCAGCACTTTTCTTGCTCTAGGCCCACACAAGCTTTGTCAAGTAGTCACTGCCAGCACTTTTTAGTTCACACAAACCTGGTCAAGCACAAATACTTGCCAGCACTTTCTAGACCACACAAACCTTGTACAATACACTACCGGCACTTTCTAGATCATACAGACCTGGTCAAGTACAATACATTGCCAGCACTTTCTAGATCACGCAAACCTTGTCAAGTACATAGATTAGAAGGGACTTGTCCTTTTATAGATTTCACTTCATTTATAAACAAAATGACAAACTCTCAATGTTTGGACACACAGCTCTTGTGTGGGTTATATGATTGAGGCTATTATTATAGTTGTAAAAATCCTTTACTATCATAGTTATTACTGTCATGGTGGTTGTTAACAGGAGAATCTGATAAATTATTTTCTTAAAAGAACTTGCAAGTAGGATTTAATAAAGGCAGATCAATTTGAACATTTAAACCTTTTTTATCTAGCCAGCTGATCAAATTAATGAGGAATGAAGCATGGCACAGGAATCTGCATAGTTTAGATCTATTATTGAACAAAAACTTCAACTTGAGTTATGCAACAGTACCTCATCTGAAGCACAATCTCAAATGTTGCCAAATGAATAGATATAATGGTAAAAATAATTAGGGCCCTTACCATACAGTTTTAAACAATAGTGATTCCTTGTTTAACCATCCTTTAATTTTCTACTTGTTCAATCAATTTTATGTTACATCATAAAACAGTTGGTGTGTCAGCCCAACATATAATACTTTTAGCTGTTTGCTTACGTTTTATTTCAAATAGACGGGGAGAGACCCCTCCCCACAAAACATACACCAAAACAACACGTGAACCCCATTGCTCCAGTCATATAATTGATCAGATTAAACACTTGGGGAGGGGGCAGGGATTGAGGACAGGAAGGCTATATGGTTACAAGAACAAATTTAGGACTTTTTTTGTTTCCTTTATGAGAATAATCTTGTTAAAATCTGAGCATCTTTAAAATACTTTAATTTGGTGTGAGCAGCTAAATTGTACATGGTACTTGCTTACTTTTATAGTTGTTAATTATTGTATAAACATTTATAGAGTAGATATTGCTCTATTTGTGTGTATTATTAATGAAAGATTATATTTACATAGAGATTAGTCTGAAAAGCTATTATTGCCTAGTCTGTCCACTGAACAAGCTTATTTGTCAAGAATTAAAACTCCTCAGTACTTTGAGTAAAGAATTCCTCTTAACAACTGTAATTATGTCAGGTCTATGACAGAATGGAGTCAAAAATAAGCTTTATTTAGGTCATGGAACCAAACTGGATTAAAAACATAATGGTCAACATGAAATTAAAACAGTCTATTTGAACTTGAAAGAACAGTAAGCCTAGTGCATAGTTCAACTCAGCTCAATTAAACAATGAGGGAAAGAACAGCAATAAAAAAAATTTGAAACTAATTTTGTATAAAGGCAAATAAGAACAAAGTGTTGCAGTGTACTGAGACATCCTTTATTGACTGATGTGGGGGGTTTCGGTTCTCTTTCAACATGGCAACATGAGGGCAAGTTTTGGTAGAATAGACCAACTAGCTTAAACCATCACAAACTTCTCACAGAAGGGGTTATACACTAAGACACTTCTTACAGCACCAACTTATTTAGACCCCAGGAACCCAAGTTCATTATCTAAGTACTGCAACTACTGCAAGTATGAAATAACACATTCTTTAATTATGTTGTGTGAATGTAGTACATGCGTTTGAGATTCTGAGCAAAGAGTAAATTTGGCAGTTGTTTGACAGGACTCATTGTAACTTGATTGAAAATTTATTTTTCTTCTCTTTAACTACTTGTATAATTTGTAATAAAATATGTATAATATAAACTGTCAACAGAAAGAAAACATTATGAAGAATTAAAATATCTAGCCTTCTTTTTTTTTCTTTTCTTTTTTTTTTATTAAGAAAACTTTATAAACTACATATTCATCTGATTGTGTTGGCATAAATGTAGTTTGTAGCAAATGACAAGTTAGAGAGACAAAACCATGATTTCCTGAGTTACTTTTGTACTTCACCATTCCAAAACATAAGAAACTCACAAGATAGACACAGCATTTGTTCTATGGTGAATACATATCAAGTGTTCCCAGACTTTGTGAGATGGAACCTAGAGATGGACAACTGTTCTAGCAAACATACCACAAATGTTATGTAGGTAAAGGGGCATCAATCAATCTGTCTAGGTGCAAGATGTTAGCTACACTAAAATAAATACTGGAAAATTGTAGAGAATCTAAAATTATGACGTCAGTTTTTCAGCGCTTTCAACGGCTCATGTGCACTCAAACACTGTTCTTACTTGCTTATTTACTTTCTTAAAAATACAAAATGCGTATTTTTCGATGCGTTAAGGACTGACCAAACTTCTTTAAAATGAGATGTGATGAAATGACAAGTGCACTAATTCCTCTCAATATAACCGAACATTTCGTCCCCTTGATGACACTCATGTAAGCTGTGTACAAAAATATTCACCCTTTAATAAAAGTTCATTATTCAAGTGTAGAATTTTGTTTATTTTCTAAAATTTTTGTTTTTAAAAAAATGTTAAATAAAAAGCCAAGGAGCATTGTGTAAATAAAAAATATTGAATCCATTATTCCCAAATTGACTAACTTAACAAAACAAAACGGGAATAGTGAACGGCTGCTATAGACAGCTTGGTGTTTAAATGTCACTTGGCATACAACATGGGAGACGGCAGACTGCTACAAATTGATGTCAACAAGTGACCGTGTATGCATGCTGAGAGATACTGGGACAAAAGAACAAGCATATTGACAAGATTCCTAGCCATAAATGGCTGCTGGTCATACTCCCTGGAGCCAAGGATGCTTCAGACACTCCGCTGCAGTGGCTCGCTCACTGGGATCAAAAGCCAGCATGGGGAGAAGGAACTCGCTGAACTCTCGTGCATCCTTCTCTGACCATTCATACTTCTCTGTGAGAACCTCCACGAGGCCCCAGGGCTTTAGTTTGCTAATATGTCTCAGTTCTCCTGTAGAAACAAAATCAAGCAACATACAAATCAACGGTCACAAAAAACATTTAAAAAAAGCTTCCTAATGGCTTAAGAAGTGAATTTGCAAATGAAGATATTTTTATAAACCAATAATGTCATCAAATCAGTGAGGCATGCCATAGCCTAACTCTTCAACAATAATTTCAGCTTAACTACTTTTAGCTAAGATTCACCATACTATTCTTAGCAAGGCCATGGTAAAGACCCAACATACAATGTAAACCTCAAAACAATGAGGCCAACTTAAATCTTTCAGCTTAAAATGGAACTTAACAAAACAAAATCTAAATGGAAGGTAATGACAAAAACACATTCCACAAGGCAATTCTCTATCAGCTTAAGCACAAAATATGTTTCGTATGTGGAGTTGCATTTTTTAATTTCAAATTCAATGATGGCCTTCCCATGCGAGTAAAAAAATCTATTTACCTCTCCTATTAAAAAATTCTCGTGAATATTTTCCACAAAGAGCTATATTGCGTGGAATGGGCCCCACAAGTTCTATGATGTGTGCTAAGTGATCTTCATCCCTTGTATAGTCTTCTCCACTGTGTGGTTCAAAAAGGTAGTCACCAGTTGCAAGCTCAAATGCCTGTTAGAAATTTCATAGATGAAAAAATAAAGTCAAGTACTCTGAGTGTAAAACAGTATAACCTTAGCACCAGTGTATAAATCAACGTTAGTGAAAAGTGGACATTGACTAGTTAAATTATGTGGCGGTTGTATAAGTGATCTCACCATACAAGCAGTGCTCCATATATCAGCCGGTGTATCGTAGCCGGCCCCTATTAACACTTCTAAACAGCGATATTGACGTGTTTGGATATCTTCTGTAAACTGGTGATACTGTGGAAACAGGTAAACATTTTTAGTGGAAGCCATAGTTATTTTCAAGGATAACGCATTAAACCTCACTGACAGATCAGTTGAATATCTGCCCACAATGGCTGACAAATCTAAAAGCTCACAATTTAAGAGGGTGTGAAATTTGTATGCTTACAGAATAGTTTTCAAGTTTAAATTGACTTTTTTTGTCAAGATTCCAAAGGCTTTCTATCAATTCATTAATTTATTTATTTTTACTTGACCAGGCCAATTTTATTGATCAAGATGTTGACAACTTTTAGTGATTCAAAACTCCAAATGATGACCGCACAATTGTGGCTTTTAGGGTCACATTGTAAAACTGTCTATATAAATAATAGCCCTTTTGATACTGGAGGTTTTCACAAAAAAATCAACAGACTTTTCAAGTCCTCTGTTACAGAAACCAGTAGCCATCTGTGAATCACATCTTGAAATAGACTGCAACTTAGTTTATTTCTAAAGATAACCTAACATATATATGACTCATACAAATGTCAACACTGAATGAAATTTCAAAATATGCTCATGAATGTTAACAGTTCAAATATGAACATTTCTAAAAACATCCCAAATGCATATGGTAAATAGGGATGTTAATATATGTTTTCTTTGGACAGGTTATCCGTTTTAGGAATCCATTTTAAACCGTTATAGGTTTAAGGCATCCAGAGTTTAACAGGTTATTGTTTCTGGTTTTTTTCAATGCATCCCAACTCTTCCCCAAAGTCATGATATTTTAATAGAATATAATTTATTGTTTTTAGAGCTTCCAAAGCAGCTCCCTTGCAGCACACTAAGTAACTAAACACCAGCAAAGCATGCGTTGGAGAACCTATAATTAAAAGAGACCACACTGCAATAATGGGATCTCCACACTTCTTATTTAATATCATAGAATAGACGCCTATAATAACCAAGTAAATTCTGATTAAATAACTTTTAATATCCTTAATTGTCATTGTCATTAAATCAATGACATACCGGTATATTGAACGGCAGATCATTAAAATAGTCAATTTTTTACATCCTATAGACATATGACTTATATGGGTATTAGCAGCTTTAATATAAATGGCAAAAGTATTTTCTACTCACAGTCCAACATGCATTGCCAAGATCAGCTATCTTCACAGGAAATTCATCACAGATCTCATGGACAGGATCCTGTTTGCGGGTAGTTGTACTTCGCTCTGAAGATAGAGTTAAACATTTCAATGCCAGTTTCAGAAACTGATATCTGCTTTGATAAAAATACAATTATTCTCTCTTATGGAATAATTCATGCATGTACATGGCACTCTAAAAAGTATAGTTCATTTCACTGCACATGGAAGAACACTATCATAAGACCAGTTGTGACTGGTTGTGAGATTGGTTCCTTAAGCAGAGAACCTGCTCAACACATGGGAGAGGAAAATTCTCAGGAAAATATATTATCCGATGATGACACTATGCTTGAGAATCAGTACAAACCAAGAGATAAATCAATTGTACCAAGACACACCCATAGTACCAACAATAAAAAAAGGTAGACTGCAATGGACAACACATTGAGAGAATGCTAGATTGTATAGCCGCTTAAGAGATGTACAGGCAAAAACCTAGGGGCAGACTACTCTCTGATCCACCAAGATGGATTGACTATGTAAAGAAGGACTTACACCAGCTGCGGGTTCGCACATGAAGGGGGAAAAACCATGGATCAATCCGAATGGACAAATGTAAGGGAGCAGGCCAGGGCCCTACATGGGCTTAGGCAACACTGATGACGATGTACATGGAAGAATACTAATGTATCTAGCAGCTTCTACATTTATTTGGTTAACGTTTTATCATTTATAGGCTTACCATACCAGAATATTAAATGTATGAATCTAGTCATAAATTATTTTTTTTTAACTCTTAGAATTTATTTCTACAAAACCCAACGATTCATGATTGTTTAAAAGAAGAGTATTATACATATACTTTAATATGTGTATATATTATTGCTAAAAACCAATACAACAGCATGATATTCTAACAATTTGGATCAGAAATATTCATATTGTACTTCTGTATTAAAAATGCTGTTAAGGTACTTCAACAAAAATTCTTATTTCAATTTTATGTTCATATAAACCTGTAATGTAATCCATTGAAAAATAATTGAAAAAACTTCAACGCCTATTTAAACTTAGTTTTACAATTTTTAAAGTAAGACAAATACAATTGGATTAGGGAATGCTCTACGTAGAGTGCAATAATGAAAAAAATCTTCTCTAGCTCTATTGGTGAAAATGTCTTGATTTTATGATGCAAATTTTATAGGTACCATCACAAATAAGGACTAGGTGATATAATTTTTTAAGGCTTATAGATTCAATATATTTTCATAATAGAAATGAAATAATGCAATTTTCCCAAAAATAAATAGTCAATAAATAGCCAGTTAAAATTATATTACACTTTTTTCTGTGAATTTACAATTTTTGCATGCAACAGATAAGTTGACAATTACACCAATCTAGTATTATAACACTACACAATTTTTTTAAAAAGAAAACTACATAAAATGTTCAAATGAAGTTAGTGGTACTTCCATGTGTATGTTTGTCATGTAAAAAGAGATTGGTATTGCTTTTTTTTAGCTGCATGACATAATTTTTTTTTACAATGAAGGCAATAAGCTAGCAGCAAAGTAACTGTATCCTCTTCGCTCTTTCTTTCGATCTCTCTTTTATTTATTTTGTGCGTGTGTTTCTGTTAATCTGATGAGCGCTGACTAAAAAAAGAATGTTCATTACGGTTACAAATATGTTTAAGAAAACTGCTCTCTAGTCTGGTCAGTGATAAGGGATGTTCATTTCCACCTGTAAAATTATTTACAATTAATATTTTTTAATGTTGAAAACTGTCAAAATGATAAATTAGAGTTTACCGAATACAGCAGTTATTATTTTTGATAACACAATTTGAGAAAGTGAGTTGTGCCCCTTTGGTTAAATATAGTAAAGAGTGAAAGAAGATGTGCGAATTATTTATCCTGCAATATTTGCATTCAGCTGTACAGTGGTGACTTTCATGCATCAACTAATAAGATTTGTTTTACTGAACTCTCCCACATACTTGAATCTAGATATCCTGGAAACATTTCACACATCGACTTCTCTCCGGGGTCATCCTTTATAAGTGCTGTGAGCATGAAAATGGGATAATATTAAAACATAGAGAAGAGGATTAAGAAGTTCATTCAAACAGATTCATTTTTTTTTTATGAGGGCTTCCATTAGCTTCCTGTGATGAAATACAAGTGAAGTTTGCACTAAAACTATTCTATGTACAAATAATCTTAAGTGAGTTTATAAATTTAAAAACTTAGTTCTAAAGCCAATACATTTTTTATTATTAAATGAAGCATTAATGACAGCTAATTGAGCAAAGTATGGACTATATCCTTACCATCAGGACTCCCTTCTGTTTGCATATCCTCTACTTCACCATCATAAGACTCCACTGAAACACTATTGACGAGTCGTGGACCATCACTTTCAAATAGTTCATCACGGTCCACCAGACACTCCCCAGCACCCACCACAACACTGGTGCTTGAACACTCAACCGTTGAAATGGCTACACTATTGCTGTGGGAATCATGACTCTGGTCTTCTATGGAAACTTTTCGTGAATACTCAGTGTCCATACTTGAAGATTCCCGAGAAAACTCAGAGGCATGGCCGTTACACATAGGTTCTGAATAATTAGAAGAGGATGAAATAATAACAGCATTGCTGGTTTTATTGTCTGTTTTATTCTGGGTGGGGCTGTTGTTGTTGGTACAAACAATGGGGGCGTCCCCAGTAACATTCAACCTTGCAATGGCAGTGGCTTGGCTCTCTGAACCAGATGATTTGTTGAGATTAGAAGCATCCTCCTCATCCTCGTCAGTAATGTTTGTTGGTGACAGGTTGCTGTTGTTTTCCATGTTTTCAGCTTTTGTTTCATTTCGCTTGTTCTCCTTGGCTTGAGAGCTCGACTGATCAAGTGTTTGTGATTTGTTCCCAGTTACTGAAGAAGAGAATTCAATCACAATTTAATATTAAGCTTTCAATAATATAAAAAATTTCAACTAATAGAATCAGATGTTTTATTCATACACAGAACATAATGTTATCATCTATTGCTAGTAATGAAGGTAGGTAAACAAGTATCTATGTCTGAGTATTGCTGAGATAATTTTGCAAAATCATTTAACAAAAATTTTAGTTTGAGAATAAGACATGTTCATTTTTTATGATGATAATATTTAGCATGCCAATAAACCTACCTCCCCCTGCAGAGTTGAATAACACTATTATTCATATGTTTAGTAACATTTGCAACTGATATACCATATAATTATGTCATTTAAAGAAAAACAATTATCCTAGAATGGTATGATTCATTTAGAATCATGTATGCATATACATCTTGGGCTACGAGCGAAAGCACGTGAAATATTACTAAATACTAATAACGTATTAAACTCCAGTTTGTTTCATTTTCTTGTTTAAAAATGAGTAGCTAAATACCACCTCAAGAAGCAACCATATTTACATAACTTTTAAAACCTATAAAAAAATAGCTTTTCAAAATAACTTTTCAAACCTATCTAGAGCCAGCTCTTCAAACCTATCAAAAAATAGCCTTTCAAACTTCTCAAAAAACAAGCATAGCATTTTTTAAATTAAAACTATAAATGTATTTGTTATAAAAGTTTTCAAGTCACTGTGATTTAGGGCTTAATCTCAAGCCAATATTCATTATCAAAAATATTTTTAAATAATATTTGTAAACAAGATATTATTCAGAATCAATTGCTTTCAGGCATCATTAAAATTAGGATATATTTATCACCTATGGCATTGTTATTTTCTCCCTCTATGAGAGATGTCTTTCGCTGACCGTTGGTCAGTTTGGTGCTGTGGTCACCCCCTCCACCTGAATTATTGGCTATAATATTCTTGGTGCTGTTGCTGCTGCTTGTTTCTGCTTCCATACTTTGTAGGCTGTTTGTGCTGGTGCTGTTCACCATAGTAGAGGTTTGGTTGTCCTGGAAGGGAGAGCAAGGGAATGTATTCACATAAGTGTATTATCCCCCAATGGATGATAAGGTTGTCAAGGAAATCAGCATCCATCAATAAAATGAATTCCGATTTGATGACACAAGGAAAAAAAAATAATTTGAAACTATCATTTTAAAAGGAAAAAAAAATTATTTTGAAACTATTAGTCCTCTCCATTTTCCTGTATGCCTGCGAATCCTGGACATTAACAGCAGAACTTGAAAGGAAAATAAAGGCAATGGAGATGAGATGTTTCAGCATTCTTGGTATCTGCTATAGGGACCATATCTCCAAGATCAAGTGAAAGAAAAGGTTTGTCAGGCAATACGATGACCTCCTGGTGACTGTAAAAAAGCGCTAACTACAATGTTATGGCCATGTAACAAGGAAACAAGGGCTAACCAAAGAAATCATGCAGGGCACCACAAGAGGAGGAAAAAGAAGATGAAGACAATGAAAAAGACGGGAAGATAACAAAGAGTGGACGGGACGAAAACTAGGCGGTGCTGTGCGTAGTGCGAAGACAGAGACGAATGGAGGAGGATAGTTCACACGTCATCTGTGGCGCCCCAACGGTCCAAGGATGACATTGCCAATAAATTTGCACAGATCTGTGGTCTTTTATTGACAAGAAATCCAGAAAGATGTCCTTAAATTTAATTTCCCATAAGCTTTGGACATGCACATAAGCATTTTGTACAATATGTTTTATATTTAGCTCACCGGTCTCTTGTCAACTCCCTTCTCACGGTCTAACTCTTCAAGCTGCTTCATCTGGATCTGTATCAGCTGCTCTTGTTTCTTTTGTTTTTTCTTCATCTTTTTCTTTTTATTTTTGGACATTTTAGATATATCCTGAGGCTTTTCTTTGGGGGCTGTACTGACTGTTGACAAAGTATAAACCTTTTTCAAACTATTGTGCATATAAACAATCCTTATTAAAAAAAAACTAATAAAGAAATAAATTTAATAAATATTTCTAACATTTTAAAATCAAAATAAAAAAAAATTTTAAAAAAACAACATTTGTAACCAACTAGCATGACATCTTTAAGAAATAAAATAAATAATTCCTTGTGAAAAAGACACTAAGACATCCTGACAAGAATTCTAAATTTAAAAAATTAGGAGCTTCTACTTCTTAGTCAAATTTAGTCATTGATTCAAGATAGGCCATCCAATCAGAAGCACCCCCCCACCACCCCTAACCCTAAAAGTGATGTCATCAGTTAAAAATCTATTAAATATATACAAAAAAATTATATAGAACTAATCTGAAGCTCACCAGCTGAACCAGGTAGTTTTAAACCCAGCCTCTGAAACTCAATAGCATCAGCTGCTAATTTACGAATATGGGACTCGTCTACACACATAAGAATATTCTCAGGCTTGATGTCCGTGTGGATAATCTTACATTTGGTGTGGAGATAGTCTAAACCTTCTAATACCTAGAAATAATGATATGACATGTTCTAATAAGGATCAAACAACAAAAAATTTTCACAAGCCATTCAATATGATTTTTAACTCTTGAATTTACAGTAAATAAAACAAAAGTAGCACCATTACAAGTTTAAATTTTATAATTCTAAATGGGCAATATTCATATTTATAGCCTATCTGTTAACAGAATCTGTTCAAGTTAATAACAGAAAAACAATTTATTTTAATCCGCTTTTTCAAATATTAAGACCATAATGTTATTGTTACCTGTTTGATGATCAGCTTGACATTATGCAAAGGAATTCCCTGGTAGTTGGAACGAATTATCAGTTTTAGCAGATTATTGCCCAAAACCTCAAACACCATGCAAACATCTGAGCATTTATTAAGGTACAAAAGGCCAGGTTTAATACATACTATAAAGTTAGTTTAAAAGAATCTACTACAACTAAATAGACGCTAAATGCAGATCAAGGTTTGGTTTACCATTAGAATTTCAACACTTCTCCTAAATCTATTGTTATATTACAGAGGATTCTATCATTGGAAGGGTCATGTGAAAGTGCAGATACAAAGTTTTGGAAATGGAAAATGTATACAAAATCCATAAAAAAATAAATGGCAACCCATTTTTAATTTATAAATGTATTAGAAGAAAATTACCATTTTCACAATGTTAATCTTCTGGGAATGGGATTATCCATGTTTATGTACTTAATGCACTATGAATGGGACCTTACATGATTTCTCTGTGCATATACTGTGTACTTAAGATGGCTCATGTTGGTACTATGTATGAGACAGCTATTGTTAGCACTATGCCCATGTTAACAATACTGTACTACATATTATGAGATGGCCCATGTTTTGATTACGTATGTTCCATAAATGTGTAGCTTTTATTTATACTACATATCTAGCATATTCTGCTTTCGTTGTTTAGCATTGTTTAGCAGTGTAAAATCAAAGCATCACATATATCATATTTCATTGTTCAAACTTCTTTTAAGAAAGGATACGTGTTCCATTGACACCAGAGATTTTGAAGTCGTCAAGTAACTGAACAGCCCGTTCTCTATATGGGTCAATTTCATCTGCCTCACGAACCTGAGGAATAAATACAGTGGGAGGTGCAGGTAATTATATCATAAATTAGGTCAATCAAACATCAAATCCATGGAATGCCCAGATTTAAAAATACCTTTGGGATAATAAACCCTAACAGAAATAAAGAAATAAAGGAAACAAATCTATCTCCTCAACCCTGTGCCTGGTGCTAAGGAATGTAAAAAAATTAGATCCTATTCAAGTTATTGATTTAATGAGTTTAATTTCTTACATGGTTCTTTTTTTTAAGGCATTAGTTTGGAGTTTGAAAATAAAAGTTTGAAAAATAGATAACAATATAAATGTAAATCTATACTTCCACAGCTACATGGGGGTAGCCGCACAATTACAGCCAAGAGACACATTGTAAAATTAATGGGTTTCAAGGTCATAAAAATATGAAAAATCTGCCCCCTTTTGAGAGTTTAACACATAAAACAAGAGAGGCTTACACATTTTAGGAGCTTGATTTCATCCAAAGCTGTTTCTGTATAGTGCTGTGCACTTTTGACTACTTTCAAAGCAACAAAACGCTTGCAACTGTAAAAAAAATTGTCAAAAATAAGTTTAATTGGTTATTTTAAACTAAGAGGAAAAAACTTGTTTTATGCTTAGCTATCATAGTAGCAAGCTCAGAGCGTCACATATCACAAATACTGCCTCAAGAAAGACTTGGGCCCAACAAGACTCCAATGAATGACAACATCAGAGAGCCTTGTAAATGCCAGATCAATAAATCAATGAGTCTAAGCTTAATATCCTCACTGCTCTGCTTCCCCCATTACAAATATAAGATGATTTCTCCATGGATAAAAACTTTTCTCTAGGCCTGCTTTGTAAGGGGGTGGATATCCTAACATTTTATTGCAACATTCAAATAGTAACAATGATGATGTTCAAAACAAGGATCTAGATATAAATGCAGTTATTTTAAAGTATGCTTTAAATTTACATTCACCCAAGTTAAATTAATGATTTTTATATAAAATCATCCATCCTGAATTCAATGGTTTATATAAAATTTTAGCAATTTTGAAGATATAATTCAACCATGTTTTGTGCAATGATATATATTTTCAGCCATATTTAAGTCAAGGAGATCTTACTACTCACGTTAGATCCCAGCTAAGCCAGACTGTAGAAAAGTGTCCCCAGCCCAATTTGCGCACTATGTGGTAGCGATTATTGAGGAGATCTCCAATTTTGACTGGGTGGTAGCCACCCTTACAATAGTCTCGAGGATCTTCTTGCTCATCATCATCAGAGCCCAGAATTTCCTCTTCCTCATCCTCTTCTTCATCATATCTAGGCTCATGATGCTTTTTTGGATCGTTTGACCTGAAATTACACAATTATCTTAGATTTTAAATAATGAGTTGAACTTCAATAACATTAATTATCCATATTGTTTACATCCAGCAATCTATTTTTACAAAATTAACCATCACTTAAACAGCCAGAGTTAAAATCAGTTGTATAATTTTACTGTGACTATCAATATCAAATATGTTTAAACATTGACTTGCATATAAATAACCAAACCATCAGGAAAAAAGCCACGCCAATCTATTTAGCACCCTTGGGAAACAGCACTGATTCAAACTGTGGGTGGTTTAACACAAACATTGATTTCTATTGTAGCTTTTTTTTCAAAGGTGTATATCAAGGAAAATGAGCTCTCTCACTTAAAACATTTGAAAAAATTCAGTTTTATTGACTCTCCAATTTGAAATAATCTCACTGTGAAAGAATGCTTCTGAAAAGCCTTGCATTTCAAATCATCTCAATATCAGATTACATCATTCAAAAGGAGGCCAATTGTGAACATATCAACACCTTAAATATCACACTAGCAGAATCAAAATCAACAGCAATCTAGAAAGCTAACATGATGTTGCCCATAATAATAGAAGCGTAAGGATTTATAACTACATTGAATAGCTTTTAGAAAGTTGGCACTCAAGTAAAAATAAATTTTTAAACCTTAAATTGCTCATACAAATGGTTTTCACAATGAACATTTTAATTAAACTTTTTGTACAACACCCCCAGACATTTTAGCACTAAATGTGCACACAAAAATGGGCACTAATTTAAAGGTTAAGATAAAAAACAACAGTTCTTTGTGTCACTCTTAGGATTGTTTATTCTTTTAAGACAACAAACCAGAAAATTGGCAGGTCATCAATATAATCAATGGACTCAATGATGGCGATAATACAGATGGCTATAATACAGTTACTAAAAAGTTATAGTCATTTTGATTTTGGTTGACAAAAAGTGTAGATTATAATATGAAAACTAATAAAATATACATATATATGTACAAAAGTGAAAGTTTGTTTGGGGGTTTGTTCCACATACGTTTTTACATGGATTATTGGATCGTGACCAAACTTGGCACATATGTCCATCATTATCCGGAACTCTTAAGGGGTTATGCACTTTTTATAAGATTCTGTTAGGGGTCGGGGGCCCAAAATGTCATTTTTTTCCTATATAAGCTATATAAATAAAATTAACAAAAAATACTCCTACACGAAGAGATAGATCTTGACCAAACTTAGTACACATACACTTGATTATCCATATTCAAATACCGAAGGATACTGGATTCATAATATCCATCCCTCTGCCTGGGGTGCCATTTCATTTTTCCTAATATAAACTATATAAATATCAATAGGCATAGACAATACTATAGGTTCTATGTGAATTCATGAATCTATGCCTACCTTGGCAGCAATACACTTCATTGTCCATATTGAAATATCCGTGGATTTAAAACTAATAATAGAATTTTCCAGAAAGTTAAATAATTTTTAAAAGTTATATCTACGTCAATTTTAAATACATTTGAACTGGACAAATTTTTAATTATAACTTCATAACTTATCTGAATGATTTTTATAGGGCCCCATCTGAGGCAAAACTAATTCGGCCCAATTATGGAATGGACCCCCGGGACCCCTCTTTCAACTTAAATGTACTATAGTTATAGTAATGCATTTAGTTTATAATTTTTCGTATTTGAAGGATAATTACTTAGAAAATACATTTTTTACATGTTTCAAGGAGGATATTATATTTAATCTATAAATATCCAGAAAGTTCTACAAGTCAATAGGCTTAATACCCCTACATGAATGGATGGATCTTGACCAAACTTAGTACACATACACTTGATTATCCATATTCAAGTACCGAAGGGTACTGAACTCATAATATTCATCCCTCTGGGGCCCCATTTCATTTTTCCTTATTTAAGCTATATAAATATCAATAGGCTTAAACAACACTATAGTTTCTATGTAAAATTATGGATTCTAGGCCTTGCTTGGTAGCAATACACTTCATTGTCCGTAATGAAATATCGGTGGATTTAAAACTAATAATATCCAATGCATTCTGGGCCGCTCTAGAATTTTCTAGAAGTTCGATAATTTAAAAAATCTATAACTATGGCATTTTTAAACCGATTTTAATAGGACAAATTTCAAATTTTAACTCCATAATTTATCTGAATGATTTTTATAGGGCCCCCTATATCAGACATAACTAAAACGGTACGTTATTAAATTCGCCCCCACCGGAGTCCCTATTTTAATTTAACATGTACTATAGTTATTCTAGTACAATTTAGTTGTATAATATTTCGATTGAGAAATAATTACGTAGTAAAGTAATTTTTTTACATATTACATGGAGGATATTAAATTTAATCTAGAATGTTCCAGAAGGTTCCATATTGTTTTATGGGGATATATAATGGGATCTAAAAGCTTATTCGAAATAAATCGCACTGAGCATGATCCCATAGAGGAACAGGATCCTAATGGGGAATGAGATCCAACAGTACACCGGAACCCATCTGTAACGTGATCCCGTCGGGTAACAGGATCAAACCAGAATTGGGATCCTAATCCGGAAACATGATAACATCGAGAAAGGGGGTCCCTAGGTGGAACAGGATTCCACAGAGGATGGTATCCTAATGGGATCGGTAGCCCACTGGGATCGGATCCACTGAGACCGGGATCCCAATGAGATTAAGATCTGGATCAGGAGCCACAATAAAACGGGATCCCACCTGGAAACAGGACTGTGCCGGGATCGATGTCAGAATGGGATTGGGGTCCCAATGGGATCGGGGTCCCACCAGGTTGGGGTCCTAATGCAAACCCAGGCCACGCCGGGTATATTGGCTAGTGTTGAAATAAAGCAAAGTTATTTGCAAATAAAAAATGTGCACAAGTTTTGTCCTTTCAAGGAGTTAAGCATCTTTAGAAAACCAACCCAAAACCTTATATGTTAACACCGGTAACTGCACACATTTGAAAAGTCAGTGAAAAAATTTAATTTGAGTGTACATTTGAAATTACTTCACTTCAATCAGATAAACAATGTAATCATATCATAATTTTTTGAAATGGATTAAATATCAGAATTCAATACCATTATCGAAGACAGCATTAAAGTAGCAAATATTTTTTATTAATTTTCAACAACTCTACCGACAAAACTATGGCACAATTAATTGTAAAAATCTGGTGAGTGGCATATCTAATTAAGACATGAAGAGCCTAGGTTGGAAGTTTAGAAATAATTCAAATTAGGGCCAGTCACCAGAATGACAGGACCTCTACATGCACATGACATCTCACCTGGTATCAACACCTAGCAATGAAGCAATTCCTTTCCTACAAGAGGATAAATAAGCTAAGTTCTGAAATGAAGGGAATCTGACAAGGGTTTTATTTGGCTTCTCACTGAGAAAATTTCCATGCCAGGTAGGGGCTACTAGGAAATGATCACAGCTCAGCGGGGTGGAGCACTGTTGGACAACAGTTGTAAGCCACCAAATTTGACCAAGAGTTTCATCCTTATAAAAACAGATTGTTGCCACTAGCTTTAAACAGATACTTCCAAATCTGATGGGAAGATTGTTCAACATTGACATTTAGAATGTCTGCGTTCAAAACAACATTTCACCAGCTGAAAAGATAAAAATGAACAGTTGAATAGCTCTGCACCATTGTCAGTTCAGTTCAAGCCTGGACTGAATTGCAACATTCTAACCCTTGTTTCATCCATCATTGCAGAGATTACAGAGTGTTGGTTTGTAAAGAATGTTTGTTGTAAGCAATTCTGACATGTTTCTGCTTGTTGAAATGAGAGGGAGACTTGTCCATTACACTGAACCAACCAGTAAACAAAAAGATCAATCTTGTTTGAGACCAGATTTCAAATGTGTTTACCGCATGATCAGAGCAAGACCCCGCAAAGAATTCCAAGAATGTAGAGAGGGCTAAAAATACTGGACAGCAAATGGAACAAATCAAGGTCCAGCCATCTTCAAAAAGTGGCAATTATGGAAAATGAATAGGTCCTGGAATTGATGTCTTGCTCTAGCCTGCTAAGCAGTATCAAATAACCTTTTAGTATTGATTCAAATAACTTAGCTTCTTGGATGCCTTCTACATCTTCTATTCAAAGGAGAAAAATAAACAACGTCCCCATGTGCCCCATTAAACTACCAATGCACTACAAACATGCCTCCCACTCAATCCTAATTCCTCTCAGCACCCCCCACCCCTCTCTAACCCTCCCCAAAAAAAGGTTTAACTATTTCTAGAACTCCACTGTCCTTAAACTATGGGACTACACAGAGTATAGTATATAATATATAGTCTTGGCTACCAAATCTTAACATATTATGTCTTGCCTACCCCATTTTAACATCACATGGACTAGGCTGCTCCATTTTAAAATCACATGTATTGGTTATTCAATCTAAAAATCCCATATATTGGCTACCCCATCATAAAATCCCATATACTGGCTACCCCATCTTAAAATCCTATGTAATGGATACGCCATCTTTAACTCACACGTATTAGCTGCTGAATCTGAACATTACATGCATTGTTTATTCAATCTAAAAATCCCATGTATTGGCCACTCCATCTTAATATCAAATGTATTGGCTTGTCCCTTACATTGCAGTAGAGGGTAACTCTACCTTATAATCTCTCAATTTTTTTATTACTGATTAGTGTAATGCTATATTATACATGGGATATTTCTTGAGCCATGGTAATCACTACATAGCTATCTAATGTCATAATCCGTGATAACCAATCTTTTAAAAATCATCAAAGAAAATAGTTAATTGTAAGAATCACCTACTCCAAATCAGAGGCAGAATCCGCTGTTGTCTCATTTGCATTTGTGTCTATTGAGATGTCCTTATTTGTGAGGTTTCCTGTACCATCCTGACTTGTGATAAATCCTGTACTATCCTGGCCTGCAATGTTTCCTGTACTATCCTGTATTCCAATGTGTCCTGTACTATCCTGTCTGATTTGTCCCATACTTTCCTGTCTAATAATTTGTTCTGTACTGTCCTGTATCATGATGTGTCCTGTACTATTCTGTATAGTAATGTTTCCTGAACTATCCTGTATTGCAATGTGTTCTGTACTATCCTGTATTGCAATCTGTTCAGTACTATTTTGTCTAACATTGTTTCCTGTAATGTCCTGTCTAGTTCCTATACTATCCTGTCCTGCAATGTGCCCTTTTCTATCCTGTCCTGCAATGTTTCCTGTAGTATCCTGTATTGCAATGTGTTCTGTACTATCCTGTTTCATGTGTCCTGTACAATCCTTTCTAGTGATGTGTTCTGTATTGTCCTGTCTCATGATGTGTTCTGTACTATCCTGTTTAGTAATGTGTCCTGTACTATCCTGTCTAGTAATGTGTCCTGTACTGTTATGTCCTGTACTATCCTGTGGTGTGTTTCCTATACTGTCATTTCCTATACCCTCATGTCCTATACTATCATGCCCTATACTATAATGGACAGTGATAGGTTCAGGAGATGTAGTGTTACTATTGACATCTTTATTCAGATGAGTGACATCCCCAATGAGACCAACATTAGGGAAACCAACATTTTCATGACTGCCTGTGACCACCTGACACTCTGTCTCCCCACCACTATCATTGTAGGTGTTCTCTTCCCTGTTGGTGGACACCATATTATCAGTGACTGGCTCTGTGTTCCGGAAGATGCTAACACACAGGCATGTCCATGAGCTATGGCTGTTAGACCTAACTACTGTCTCACTTGATGGCATCAAACTTGATGAAAGATGGCCATGTTATAAATAGGTTTTAATGCAATAAATGAGTCTGTAACATCACATATCTTCATATGTATGGTGATATTTACACATCATAAAATTTTGCAGTGCTTATATATACTGCATATCCTCAATTTTTAAAGTGTCATTCACATATATCCTCAAAAAAAGTGAATTAAATATTCATCTGTCTTCAAAAACTGAGATCATTATTTAAATATCCTGAAATGTTAACATTGAATACATCCATTGTGCCAGTAAATGAAATTGTTCCCATCTTCTCCTGGAATGTAGCATCAATGTTTGGTCCAGCTGATATCTCCAAGCAGAGACTGAACCAATGTGCTGGCCCCCGTGCTCAGCCAACTTCCAACATTTCCATAATCGATCAGAGTTCTCCCGCACCACCCATGCTCCTAGTCGTCTCCACAAAATAAAATAAAAATACAGACAGAGTTCTTCATGTTTAATGGACAAAGTATCAAAACAAAAACCAGTGGCTGTAAGAAGGCCGCCGAGAGATTAAATAACAAGCAAGTACAAAAAATAATGTTTTCAAAAGTTTTATGGGGAGCATAAATCAAGCTTGGGGAGGTACGGCCAAGGGAGTCTAGACTAAAAGGTCACAGATGTGTTTGGTGGAGGGGGAAACGATGTGGGGGGGGGAGGAGGGCGAACGACCCAACACACAAAAACAAACAGCGCTGTACTGGGTGGACATAATTAAATGCAAAACGGGGAGGGGGGCTGTGGGTGGACATAGCATAAGTCAGGGGGTTAGACAGGAGGGGTGTTGTTGGGCATCATTTAAGACTGAAGGGGTGTGGGTGGTGGTAATTTAAGACAGCGGTGTGGCTGGGCATGGCTTAAGATAGTTTGCAAGTCCCCCACTCACGCGTCTGCAGGCCGACATGAAAAAAATCAATGAGCAACAATCTTGGTCTGCAGCTCCATGACACAGAAATATTTCTCTACTCATCACTTCTATTCACGCAATATGTTTGCTAGATCAGTTCCAGGATGACAGGACAGAATGCCTACTCAAAACATTACAAAATCTGGCAAAAATATAACACTAATACAGAACGTTCCATTAGCAACTCTATTACTTATCGATGTCACAATTAAGTTTTTATTTATTTGGGGAAAACAGCAAGAATGTGTGGCTAATACAAATGACATGACACCATTCTAAGATCATTCTACCTAAATCCCTTTATATCATTCGGTGAAAACAGCGTGAGTATGTAGCTACAACAAATGTCATGACAGCGTTATCATCGTACTTAGGTCCAGTTCTCATAGTTCCATCAATTCTCATAATGCACAGGGCATATTTTTAATGAGATGAACTTCATGTCAGTACAAGAGATAAGATGATGGATCGTGTCTAACTAGGGTAAAGACGCATGAGACAACAAGTCACTTGCTGCCTTACTGGCCAAGTCATAGCAGTACTCCATTTTCAAGCAAGTCAACAACTGACTTCTGCTATGATTAGTGGACAAAAAAAATTTCAACACCTAACCTCTGCTAGTCTTGTGGACCAATATGTCAACAACTCAACTGACTTCTGCTATGTCTTGTGGACCAATATACCAACAAATCAACTGACTTCTGCTATGTCTTGTGGACCAATATATCAACAACTCAACTGACTTCTGCTATGACTTGTGGACCAATATATCAACAACTCAACTGACTTCTGCTATGACTTGTGGACCAATATATCAACAACTCAACTGACTTCTGCTATGACTTGTGGACCAATATATCAACAACTCAACTGACTTCTGCTATGACTTGTGGACCAATATATCAACAACTCAACTGACTTCTGCTATGTCTTGTGGACCAATATATCAACAACTCAACTGACTTCTGCTATGTCTTGTGGACCAATATATCAACAACTCAACTGACTTCTGCTATGACTTGTGGACCAATATATCAACAACTCAAATGACTTCTGCAATGACTTGTGGACCAATATATCAACAACTCAACTGACTTCTGCTATGACTTGTGGACCAATATATCAACAACTCAACTGACTTCTGCTACATCTTGTGGACAAGTCAATCCACAGCTGAATTCTGCTATGCTAACATGAAGGTGGTTATGAAAAGTGTGAGGTGTTTTTCTTCTTTTACATTTCCCAATGATGAAGGTTAAGGGTTAATTAAAATTCTAGGACTGCCACATTTATAATTACGCATGTATTTTGTCACAAACCCTTTCGACCTCTCAGTGCTAGCTACGTTACCCCTCCTTAAGTCAATTTAACTAAGACCTTGCACAAACCTCAGCATGGATAAGGGTTCCAAGAGAGACAAGAAGAAGAGTAAGGCAGACTTAGTGTTGTTACTAAATACATAGTATTTTGCTATAACCAGACACATCAACTGTGACCACACACGATGCCAATCACATCGAGGGCCGTGTCCAAGTTAGATTCATTTTGACCCAAAATCAAAGACTTTACCTCCTGGACCTTCTCCTGTGTATAGTGACCCAATCCTGACCGATGGGCTCCGGTTTGCTAGTGGAGGATCTCCGCCGCTGCCTTACCCACTGGGAGAACTTTTTTATCATCCCAGACACAGAGGAATGTATTCAGCTATCACACATCTGAATCTCTCAATGGCAGTTCATGTTTGTGGCCCTGGTGAGCCGCCAGTCCATGGAACAGAACATGACGGTGTCGGTGCGGATTTAAGACTATAAGATGGTGCACACATCCTTTGCGGTTAGTGCACACGATAAATGAGATGGATCAGCCATCCCACAGTTATTTGATACTATCATCAGCTGATAGTGTGGGGGTTCTTAAACCTGTGATACCGGACTCATTCGTGTCAAGGGGTCCGCGAGCCTCATATCCATTGTACTGTTATTAGATGCATTCTATTGATAACAACCTAATTCTAAAAGGGGTCCGTGGCCTAAATAAGGGTTAAGAACCACTGTGACTCTGTCAACAGAGCAAGAGATAATAAAATCGATAAAATTCATCATGACACTAGAATCTTCACCCTAGAGAGTCACTTTCAACATACCCTAAAAGTCATTGTTACTTTTTTGTTCACTTAACGAATTATAGTTATTTTCTATACACCCCACAAGTGACGCCCCACAAGTGACGCCCCCTTTCTATATACTAAAAGTTTGTGTCGCTTTCTACACACTCTACAAGTAATTGTCAATTTCTAAACACTCTACGAGTTTTTATGACTTTCTATACAATCTACAAGTTTATGTCACTTTCTACACACTCTACAAGTAATTGTAAATTTCTATGCACTCTACAAGTAATTGTAAATTTCTATGCACTCTACGAGTTTTTATGACTTTCTATACAATCTACAAGTTTTTGTCACTTTCTACACACGCTACAAGTAATTGTCAATTTCTATACACTCTATGAGTTTTTTTGACTTTCTATACAATCTACAAGTTTTTGTCACTTTCTATACACTCTACAAGTAATTGTCACTTTTTATTCACTCTACAAGTAATTGTCACATTCTATACACTACAAGTTTTTATCACTTTCTATACACTCAACAAGTTATTGTTTCTTTCTATACACTCAACAAGTGTGTATCCCTTTCTATACACTCAAGTTATTGTCACTTTATATACCCTCTAAAAGTGTTTGCCACTTTCTATACACTACAAGTTATTATCACTTTCTATACGCTCTACAAGTTTTATCACTTTCTCAAACTACTGTCACTTTCTATATACTGAAGTGTTACACTCTACTAGGCACAAGTATTAAACAAAAGAAGTAGGAGAGCGAAATTCGCCACATAAAGCCTCCATATTGTAGAAACAAAAGGCCTCTCAATGGGCAAGCTGCAGCACACAAGGAAATAGGGCTCTATGTGTCAGTGCCCCCCACCCATGCGCACATTTACATATTAAATTCTAGGCGGCCTTTTATCCAACGTACGAAAAGCTGTAGCTACGTTAAACGAGAGATTGGCTTTTGGAACTAGGGAAAGGTCACTACAATCAGAGGTTTTTTTTAAAGCGACAAAGAAACTGGTTCCCTGAGAATCTGGCAAAGCTATCGTATTTTTTTTTTTAAGGCGAGAGAAGGAAAATAAAGTAGGTTACAGAGATATTGGAAAACATGGTGTGCAAATAGTTGAGCCCTCGCTAAGGAAGGTATTAAATCCTTCAATTTGAAAACCGACAATCTCCTAGACATTCAGCTCACCCCAGTCCACCCCTCCCCCCAGCTTGGTTTGGTCCGTCCACATGTAGGGTGAAGAGGGCAGGGCAATGCCAACACGTTAAGATCCTGCTCACACGAGGTCGGAAAAAGGGGGGGGGGGGCGCGGGGGAGGCTTTCCTTATAAAAAGGTCAGGGTGAGGGGTGTATACACGGGGAAAAGTTGCCGCCTGGTCCCTTGGCGCAGCTCCAACAGCTGCTTAGCGGCGGATGTGTGCTAAGAAATACAGTACGCTAGATGCCCGGTGACGTTGCGAACTTCAGTCAACTCTTTCACAGTCAAATTAAATGTGACACTTGTGTTGATTCCATACCCCGTCTGACCAGGGGTATGGAAAAGTTCACATAGAGTCGGGAAAAAAACATTACTTCAGGCATAAACTGTGACGCCTTTCGACAGTCTTTTCTATGGCCCGCGGGCCAGATGCGGCCCACAGCGGCCCTTAAGCCGATCCGCTTTGCCCCGACAAGGGTACCCGGGTAGAAAAGTTTCTAACGGGTACCCGTGAAAACGCCAATCACGATAAAGTCCTCTGGGAAAACACCAAAGGAACAACAACAGAAGAGGCACCGGTCTATAAAGTTGGCCAAGGCGTGAATGGCGTTGAGCTGCTTGTAACCACTGATGGCACTCCTGGCATCGCGGGGTATGTGAAAGGAGTGGTTGCACACATTCACCAAAGGACGGAATACACAACCACTCGCATCCAACGGTGTTGTTAAATTGCCTGATCCATGAACAAGATCAGCGCCGTCAATGCATTAAGTTGTCATGAAAATGTTGGCATCGTTACTTCGTTAGAGCTCACGCACTAAACCACAGTTTGAGGAATTTACGCCTGAGCAAAATGTCCCCTATAAAGTTACTCTGTAACAACCAAAAGAACGTTGGCTGAGGAGATGGAGAGTTTTAAAACGTTTGTGTATGGGTCAACGTCCAGTTGTCTCTGCTTTTATGCTTTTAACCAAAAAAATTTAGGACCAAGCTCAAAAAGGCAGAATAGAGATATCACTTTGCTTTTCTGACAGATAGCTTCTCAACAAGTTCAATGTGCAACTTCAATGTGAAATGCATTGACGTATAAAAGCAA